CTATGTGTACCAGCACCTAGACCTTCTTAATATCTGATCTTACTTCTACTGCCAACGGTTTCTCTCCTTACTCTACTTCACCAATATGGTAAGATGCAAGGCATATTTTGCCTCAGTTTGTATAGACCACGTGACTGAGGTGAAATTTATCGGAATTTAACTCAGCCATGAAAGTTCAAGTGTCATGAACGCATATGTGTACCTTGTGCCTTACCGTATGAAAATGACTTGTATATGAACAAGATAACAAACAACCGTGAACAGGCTGGAGGTCTAGTCAAACCATTGGCTTACGTTCTTCAACGTTAGTAAATGCAACTTTCCTCAACTCGGCAGATGTAAGACCTCCTGCCCGAGAGTAAGCTTCTTAAATGGTACTCCGCTGCAACAGATTGACAGTCAGGAGGACCTGGTTGTGTGGATTACTTCTTTACGCAAACTTATACTGAACTGCAAGAAGGCGGCGAAGCTGGTCAGATCTATATTACAACTCATTAGGCGAGCCTCTATGGAATTTGAAAAATACTTTTTCCGAAATATTTGTAAGCTTCGTTCAGCTGCGTCCAGAATTCGCTATACAGGCATGGTGACCTCATACTGTCAAAGACTGTACCGTCTTAGAGAAGGACCAGATAAGGGCGACCTCTGCTTTTCACGAGATGTACGAATCGAACCCAAAACGCACTTCGAGCTAACAAGATGATACAAGTATACCCATTTTGCAAACAGGTGTAGAAAAAAACTAAGCGAGAATGATTTGTGAGGCCAAGGCGATATTGAGAAACCAAGGTCCTTCTGTCCTACGGGCACCTGGTAATGGGGGATATAAGGGTGGGGTAGTAAACTGAGAAGCTGTAGACGGCGATAACTGGAAATAATAACAGGAATAAGAGCCAAAAATGAACGATTGTTTTAATAAAAAGATAAAGAAGGCCAAAGGGTATAGGGAGGGGAACATAAGTGCAAAGTTAACGCTACAGCGACAAAAAGTTAACTGGGAAGCATGCTATTGGTGCGAATAAATAAGGAACTGAATACTGAAGTCCAAGGAAGCGGCAAACTAATCCTGCGCGACTGGCAACCAAGTCAAGGAAAATATTATTAAGGAAAATATTATTAAGGAAAATATAGGCAAACGCCTTTGAACTCCCTATCGGTACACAGTAGTTAAGAAATGCATCGACAATGCCGAACATTTCAAAGAAGGTCGTTTACGTAATTGTGGGTGGCTAGTCACTTTTTCCAAGTAATATAATCAGATGGGATGAGGTCAGTTAGCACGAGCCAGCAGG